CCGCAGGGGCTTTGCAACAGCCCAGCCACATTCATGAGGATGATGATGGCTATTTTTGGTGACCAAAACTTCCTGAGCCTCTTGTGCTATCTTGATGACATCCTTGTGTTTGCCCCCAATGAAGCATTGGCGCTGCAGAGACTGGAGATGGTGTTCGGGAGGTTAAAGGCGCACAACCTGAAGCTAGCCCCCAGGAAGTGTCACTTCATGAGGCCTTCAGTGAAGTGTCTGGGGCATGTCGTGTCAAAGGAAGGCATTTCAACTGACCCGCAGAAAGTTAATGCTATAGTTGACCTGCAAGAGAAAGACTTAATGGTGGAGGGTACTGATGTCCCATCCCCCACCAAGATCCGATCCTTCCTTGGCATGGTGTTTTATCAACATGGGGTTTTATCAACAGTTTTTTGAGGGGTACTCTAGCATTAGCTGGCCTTTGTTTGCATTGACATCTGGCTTGAAGGGGCCACGACGTACCAAGGGAAAGAAATCCGCTATGTTTCGTAACCTCTCCTCTGCTGATTGGACTCCCACTTGCAGCGAGGCTTTCAGTAAGCTTAAACAAGCCTTACTAGATAACATCACTCTGGCACACCCTGACTTCAGTAAGTCATATCTCCTGTCAGTTGATGCCTCCTCGAACGGTCTCGGTGCAGTGCTGTCTCAGCTGGTGGAATGCGATGATGTTGCAAGGCCCATAGCATTCGCCAGCAAGTCACTGAATTATGCCCAGTCTCGCTACCCGGCACACAGACTCGAATTTCTCGCACTCAAGTGGGCTGTGTGCGACAAATTCAGCCACTGGTTGAGAGGTAATCAGTTTACTGTCTGGACCTACAATAACCCGCTCACTTACATTCTCATTAAGCCCAAACTAGATGCCTGTGAGCAGAGATGGGTGTCGAAACTGGCCCCCTACGACTTTGACATCAGATACATCCCTGGTCCGAGAAATGTGGTGGCAGACGCCCTCAGCCGTGAGCCCTTTGTGCACCCCAGTGTCCTCCATCGACTCACAACAATCCCCTATGGTGCGCTCCTGGAGGAAGCAAATGCCCTTGATCCTGACTGTGTGCAGGATGCTTTTAGGCTGTCTTGTGATCCTCTCAGCCGCCTGCTGCATCACCCCCTGCCTGTGGCCTTCAACAGTGCAACAGCTGTGCCCCAGCATCCACCTATCTCCTCAGAAATAGTGTCGGCTGTCTTAGAACATTCAATGGTAGAAGACCAGTTTCCCTCTCATGCACTTTGCTTGCCTCAGCTCACTCAGTCCCTCCTGCCATCCGAGCTGTCTGATTATCGGCCCCTGCCCAAGGCCAAGCTCATGTCACAGCAGCGTACTGATCCATGCTTGGGTCGGGTGCTCTACTTTGTGGAGCGTCAGAGGTGCCCATCCAGACGTGAATGCCCACATGAGTCTGCTGAAACCCTGCGGCTGCTCCGACATTGGGAGCAGCTTACCATCAAAGCTGGCGTTCTCTACCGCTCTTCAAAAGATGCTGTGACAAAGAGGAAGATTTACCGATATCTGGTGCCCACTAACTTGAAAGATAAAGTCCTGAAGGGTATTCATGATGAGGCGGGTCACCAAGGTCAGAGACGGACGCTTTACTTGGCTAGACAAAGGTTCTACTGGGTTGGGATGGAGAAAGATGTGAAAGATTATGTGCAGTGTTGTCGGCGCTGTCTGGTCAGTAAGACTCCTGAACCCGAGGCCAGAGCACCACTCAAGAGTGTTAAGACCTCTAGACCTCTTGAGTTGGTATGCATTGATTTTTGGTCAGCTGAAGATTCCTCCAACAAGTCTTTGGATGTGCTGGTCGTGACAGACCATTTCACTAAACTGTCTCAAGCCTACCTTTGTCCCAACCAGTCAGCCAAAGCTGTCGCTCATCAACTCTGGAACAACTTTTTCTGTATCTATGGCTTCCCAGAGCGAGTGCATTCCGATCAGGGGTGCAAATTTCGAAAGCAGTCTGATTGCAGAAATGCTCCAAGTTGCTGGTGTTGAAAAATCTCATACGACACCTTACCACCCCATGGGCAATGGAGCAGTCGAAAGGTTCAACCGCACTCTGGGAAACATGATCAGAGCCTTTCCACCCAGAGCCAAGCAAAAATGGCCCCAACTCCTGCGTTCACTAACCTTCTCTTACAATGCAACGGTCCATGAGACCACTGGGTTTGCACCCTTCCTCTTGATGTTCGGCAGAGTTCCCAGGCTGCCTGTGGACATGATGTTTCAGTCTGTGCTCATAGATGAGCAAGTGGTGGACTATGATGTCTATGTGCAGTGTCTTCGTCGTGACCTAGCTGAAGCTATCCGTATTGCGCAGATTTCAACCACGAAACAACAAGAAAAGCAGATTGAGCTATACAACCGCAAAGTGAGGGGTGCACCTGTGGAGGTAGGAGATAGAGTGTTGCTGGCGAACAAGGGAGAACGAGGGCGGAGAAAGCTGGCTGATCGCTGGGAGGGACACCTGTACACTGTCGTGGGAAAACAGGATAACACTCACACCTTCAGACTCAGGAACTGTGCGACTGACCAGGAGAAATTATGGGTAATCAAATTTGGGTTTGACGGCAGCCTAAGAACAAGCCAATTAAATAAACTATATGTCTCTATAAACAAAAAAGCTATGAGTAAAGACAACTTTAATAATGATAATTATAATAATAATACTGATAATAATGCAGAAAATAAAGGTAGAAAAGGCAGTTAAAAAGGCAGAAAGGTTTAATGCAGACTGCAAATTTTTAGCAAGTTAAATTCTCTGTACAGTCTCTGTTCTCTGCACAAATGATAAGATGATACATCAAATGCCAGTTACGACCTTGACTCCTCCAGAGACACAGCAGCCAAAGAATCCCTCCCTATGCAGAAGCATGTAGCTATCAAAAGACAAAACTGTGACTTAACTGTTACAGTCTATGAATTGTAAGTTGTACATGTAGACAAGTGTCCTTGGAGAAGAAGAGGTTTCCTGACCTCAGCTGGCATCCCTGTTAAACGTTTGAACCAACTGATTGATATTATACCTTATTGGAACTTAAAGAAGTAACCATAGTAAAGTGCAGAGAACACCAAAGCTAACTTGGAATTAAAAACCCTCCCTATAATACCATTTAACGTAAGATTAACTCCAAATGTGACAATGAATTTCATACTATATGAGATAAATAGGACGACTATGGGATAATAGGAGAGATGATAAACCATTTGATGACTATGACAGAGAGAACAAGGAAGAAGCAGGTTCAGAGGCAGGAATTTCAATAGAGAAAATGATAGAGGAAGTAGAAGTTTTGACAAAAGTTTATGAATCACAAGAGCAGAGAGGTGAAGAATAGTACCCTGACCAAGGTCATGAACCACAACATCACAGAATTGCAGAGCTTTTTGTCACTAGGTGAAGAGCTGTAGAAAAAAGTATCAAGCATGACTAGAAGAGGGAGAGACAGCAAGTGTTATTCGACAGAAATGAAGAGAAAGTGTGAACAGAGAAGAGACAGAGGAGGAAGAAGTGCTAAACTTGGAGAAGATAAATAAATAAATAAATAAATAAATATATATATATATATATATATATATATATATATATATTTGATAGATAGATAGATAAATATACTTTATTGATCCCAAACTGGGAAATTCTCTTGTTATAGCAGCAAAAAGAAAATACAAAATAAAATTAAAATATAAGAAGAAGCAAGTACAAAGACTAAAAATACAAAAAATACTAAGTATATACAATAAATACAGGCTAAATATGCTAAACATCCTAAGAAATAAAAAGTGAGATATGAAGAATGTGGGCTATTGAAATTTGTAATAAATATGAAATGAGTAATGAATATGAAATGCGAAATATTACAGATGGGATGATAGATATACAGACAATTTAAGGTGCTCGGTAATATGATGTCATAGGAGTTTAAAAAAAAAAAAAAAAGTACTATACAGCAGACAGGCGTGAGTCCCTGTCTGACATATGTGAGTTATTGAACAGTGCAATAGCTTGTGGCAGGAAAGATTTCCTGTATCTGTCCCTTCGACAGCGGAACTGCAACAGTCTGTTAGAGAAGGAATACATTATGCAGACATAAAACCGCAGATATAGTTAATGATGTGATACCTGTGACCTTTTTGTGTGACTCCGGTGCAAAAAAAACAACAAAAAAAAAACAGTTCTTGGACATAAACTACCACAGATTAGGTTTTCCAAACAAAAGATTTTTGTCAGATCAGCAAACAGAGCTTTAGAGGTAGTAATAGCGAGTCATGGGCCTTGCCATGTCTCGACAGGAGGGATGAGTGTAGTAGTTAATCAACACTTTACCCCCTATTGATTCGTAAATTATTCAAAAAAAAAAATAATTTTTTTGTTTGATTTGTTCAGTTTGTGCTAGACATAATGCTCAAGACAGTATAAAACCAAAAAGAGGCCAATTTCCACCAACCAATGCATCTTTTGAAGCCATACACATCGACTTCATAGAATTAAATCAGTGTGAGAGAAAGAAATACTGTTCAGTGTTAATAGATCCTTTCACTAAATGGATAGAATTATTTCCTGTCACCCATCCAGATGCATTAACAGTAGCAAAAATCCTGTGTAGAGAAATAATTTCTTGATTTGGCATTCCAAAACGAATCTACAGTGACAATGGAACTCATTTTGTAAATGAAATAAATAAATAAATAACAATAACTAGAAAATGCAGTTTCTGAAGAAATTGCGGGATGGATTGCTCCAGCTAAAATTGCCATCGCTAAGCTGCTATTGTAAATGTCTTAAGTTCAAAAAATATGTGAAAGATATGAGATTTGAAGATTCAGAAAGGTTTAAATCAGTTTAAATCAGTTGGAATTAGTTTGAAAAAATTGAATACTGAATGAAGATTGAAATGATTTAAAATTAAAATGATCATAATCTGAATGTATAGAGGAGTTGAAGGCTTTTAAAGTTGTGTAAGAAAATGTGAGAAAAGGGCCAATTTGAAAATTCCGTAATGCATTTCTAATAAAAAATTGGTTGGAAAATCTGGAATATGGAATAGAGACAGAGTTCAAAGTCTTTTACTCACCATTCACAGTGGATGCCTCTGATCTGCCCATCAACATCCACCTTAAACAGGGTTTTTCCTGGCTCAAATTGAGGCAGAGGTGCCACCATCCTGACCATGCGCCATGACGTGCATGTATTTGTAAATTCAACTGACTCACTTTCTTTTACAGGCAACATACTTTAAGTTAAGAGTTCAAAAAAGAGTGTGACCATTATCATGTTAAAGCATTCATTTATTAAAACTATATACATACACAAATCAGCTTGCAACTTTAAATTGAAAGTACACTTCATCCACACATCTCGCAACCAGACAGAACATTTCAGCCTCCTCTTTTTCATTCTGTAGAACCTCCTCATGCACTCCTTGTAGTCCAAGGCCTCCTGGTCTGGTCCATCAACGGCCACCTTACAACAGACATCCAAGCGCCTCTCCTTCAGTCTGTTCCACAGAGGTGTCTTCACCTTAAACAAAACAATTCATCATGCATTAAGTATTTTTGTTTTTATTCTGATACAGACATGAAGAGTGATAGTGTTTTCAATCATAAGCCAGGTAAATTGATTGAGCCACTGCTTGTCAAAGCCACTGGCTCTGTGTTTTTGAGAAGATCTGGAAAGAGGAATAAAAACCCCGTACACGTTAGCTTTGCGTTGTTATGCTCCTAATTGGAAACTAATTCATTAATTACCCTCGCCTCGCCGACTCGTCCTGTCCTGCATTCGGACCCTCACGATCACCAGTCCCTTGTGAAGTACTTTCAGACCTGACACAAATTTCCACGTTGTCACCACCATGAATTATAGCATTTTAACTGCCTGTTACGTTTTTTTCTCTGTTGTGTTTCACCTGGACTCTTGACTTTCCTCCTCGCGAGGTCGCTTTTTAAAGTACTGGCTGATTTTGCCTGTCATATCTGCAACGCTAAAAAACGGAGGAAACTTTTTTTTAAAATAAACACGTCATGCTTGGATGCAAAAAAGACAAGCAGTATTTACCTGTTTGTACCATCCACCAGGGAAAATCAGGACGCCGATAGCACCAACTAGCGGGAAAAAAGAACTTGAAAAAACATGATTCGATCCGTTTCTTCTTCGGTAGATGCTTCAGGTCTTTCCGGTGCACTGCTGTTGGTATAGCGCCTCTATAGTGGCGCAACGCTGTAACTGCAGTTAAAATACGTTGCTGCTGCAGAGGGACATCATACGCTCAATCAACACAGCTGGAGCTTTACGCTGTGTTGAGCGAAATCAATCGCTCTGGCTGGGGGCGGCACAAAATTAGGTGGAGGCGGCCGCCACGCAATTTTGAACGCAGGAAAAACCCTGTTAAAAAAAAAAGACTTGCAGTGTGACTCAGATTTGAAGGGCAAATTTGCCACAGCAGGCTTGGACACATTTTATCAGTTTTCCTCGCCAAGTTACCCCGACTTGACAGCCTTTGCTGCAAAACTATTTTGCATGTTTGGAACCACATATCTGTGAGCAAGTTTTCTCTGTAATGAGCAAAAAAAGCTAAAAAAAATGCCAGGTTTCAGGAGTTAAATAAACAGTGGGTAACCCCACTTCAAATGTTGCATGACACACTGCACCCTGATATAGTTGTGTGAAAATGACTGTCTTCTGTGGAAAGTTAAAGAAAGGGAACAGTGTGTGATTTACTACAATACATCGTTTGGTTTGTTATAATTGTTCATGTATTGCACAGCTTTTATTTTTCTGCCAATACTTTCTACTCATTTAAAAAGGCCAAGTGTAGACCTGAACAATGTTAACAAAAAAAATATTACTGCTACCACAGATATCCCAGCAAGATGTCAGAAGCAGATCCTCAGTGAAAGGCAGATTTTAAGTGAGTCTTCCTGCCTCACACCTGTGCCAGTTACTTCATAACTGTATGGTTTCTTAGTGAAGAAGTACAAGTTGCCTGAGTAACAGAGGCTTCATTAAAAAAAGATTTTTGATTCTGCATTCTAGTCTTACACATTTATTTGTGAACTGGACCGACAGAATTGCCTGAAGAGCCTTTTAATAAATGTAAGAGATCATTGTCCTCCACTGTTCTTGTTCAGTCATTGTTCAGTCAACAACACCACGATGCAGCCTTTTTAAACAACAATGGTGCTTCCAATTAAAATTCAGAAATAATAAAGATAAATACTTAAGATAATTAGAAATGGGGCCCAGTCAACATGAAAGTGAATAGCACTCAGTGGCGGTTCTAGACTAAATTACTCCCCGGTTGAGCAACCCCCCCCCCCCCCCCACACACACACACACAGACACACACACACACATCTAGGGGGGGGGGGGCGCCTATTTGACAACAAGAGTTAATAAAAAACTGCTTTGCAGTTATGATTTATTATTATTATCTTTTATTTTTTATTTTTGGGAAGTGTTCGTGCCGCCCCCCATGAGTCATGACACAAATGCCGCCCCGGGCGGCTGCCCTGTTCGCCCGTGCCCTAGAACGCTACTGATAGCACTGGTGCTACTGTAGATGCCAACAGACTGCCATGCAGACACTGGTGACTGTAGGTGTGCAATATGACTAAAATGTCACATCCTACAACCTCTTTAATACAGTGGCACCCATACCGCAGCCGCTACGACCATTTACACTTTGCATGAGGTTACAATTTAGTTCCTTATTCTCCAGTTAGTGAAGCTAGCAAAGTTTTCCCTCCAAAAACACACCCAGACAAACTTGTCTTATTTCACTTTTATTTGTCATCCAGCCACTAAATATACATAATTGACTTTGACGTGTACACAGTCCACAGAATATCTGTTTCTACCCAACCTGGTATTCAAGTTTAATCAAAACTCTGAATGCAGGTACATTTAACCAGGCTGTGACATGTAACTCTCAGTCTGTGTTACACCATAAAACGTATGTGTTGCCTTGCACATCAGAACAAACGTTCCTATTGTTACATCCTTTCTGTTTTGGAGAGTTGGATTTCTCCCACACTAAACATCATACAAACAAAACTTAACTGTTTAACTTTTAGGTACTTAAGTAAAATAAAGTTGCCTCTTTCAAGTTAACATACAGTAATCTAAAGTGTGTTATAACAGTTTTCTTAATCAAGGCATTGTGTAATATGTAATTTATTTTCCAACATAACACATATTTGTTTTAGCTTTTCCTTTTCAAGCCTATCAACTTTTATAAAACTTAAGCGCTTTCATCTCACAACATCACAAGAAATGCAGAAACTTAACATTACATTACATCACATCAACTTCAGTGCATTTATTTTTCTCACTCCCCTTTTTTTTCTTTAACAATGCCAAAAACTCTGTGTAGTGTTGGAGTTACACAACAGCGAGACCGGAAATAGTAGCTGGTGAGTCACCAGGTTTATTGTCTGCAGCTTCATCAGAGACGGTGTGTGGAGGGTTGGTCTCTGGGTGACAGGGATCAACAATATCTTCGTCCATGAGATCATCCAGGGTTGTCCCTTGAGCACATCTCAGGTGTCTTTGATTTCTCTGTATAACTCCACCTGAGTCCAACAGGACCTCATAGGATCTTGCATCAATCTGTTTTTGTATCCTGCCTGTTCTCTAGACTGAGTGGGGATCAAGTGGCTGTATTCTCACAAAGTCACCAGGATTACGCATTTCTAGATCTCTGGCTGATCTGTTATAGAAGGCACATTGGAGACGTTTGTTCTTCAAGTCCTGGTGTGCCCGTATGACTTATGGCTTAAGAAGACTTGATTTTGTGGGAAGGTGCGTTCTGGTGTGGTGGCTGAGTAATCTCTGTGCTGGACATGGTGTCCATGCCCTGCGATGGTGTGTTGCAATGGTCTAGAATTGCAGGATAGGGGTCCTGACCATCAGCTTTGACTTTGGGCATCAGTTTCTTAGCAGTCTTTACAGCTGGGGGTAGCCAGGTGAGGAGGTCTCGTTGAAATTCCCACAGCTTGCTGAATCTCTGGAACTCTAGCGGAGAGAATTGTGGTCCATTATTTGAAATGACGATGTCTAGGATTCCTTGATGAGCAAAATGGGCTTTTAGTTTCTTTTATCACTGTTGCAGACTTTGTGTCAGATCATCATCATCATCAGGTCTCTTGCTCGGCGATGGGGACAGCGCCATGCGTAGAGCCAATCAGTTTCACCAGTCTTCTCCATTGGGGTTGGTCCAGTGCTAGGGGTTCAGCTGCGGCAAGCGACAGGCCCAGTTGGTGTAGGTCCCCGGTGACGACATCAATCCATTGTGTGCGGGGGGCACCACGGGGGCGTTTCCAGCCGGCAGCTTTGGGTTGGAAGTGGAGGATAGCGTGAGTAGGATGTTCTGGGGGGAGTCTCCTGATATGGCCGTACCAGCGCAATCAACGCTGTGCTGCCAGTTGGGAGGCAGGGGGCTGTTTTGTCAGTTCCCTCAGTGTGATGTTGGAGACCCTATCTGGCCATTTAATACCCTCTATTGAGCGCAGTGCTCTGGTGTCAATTCTGGCAGCCAGGGTCTTGTTGAGTGGCCATGTTTCAGCTCCGTAAAGGAGGATGGAGAGGACTGAGGTGTTGTAGATCCTTAATTTGGTTGCTCTTGATATGGAGTGTTGTCTCCACAGCGGCTTCCAGAGTGTTTTCATGGCGCTGGCTGCCAGGGTGCGTCTCCGGTTTATTTCAGTTATGATGTTGCCGTTGTTGGTGATGATGGACCCAAGGTAGATAAAGGAGGTCACAAACTCAACCTCCTCTCCACTGATATGCAGAGGAGGGGGGGTGTCACCTCCGATGTGCATCAATTTTGTTTTGGGCAAGCTGACCCTCAGGCCCAGTTTGTTGGATTCCTCTTGGTAGATTTCCAAGGCTTCTTTTAACTGGTCAAGAGTGGAGCAGAATAGTGTGGTGTCGTCTGCGTATTCCAGATCTGTGAGGGTGTAACTGCCAAGTTTAACCCCAGGAATGCGTGCACATATCCGCTCCATCAGGTGGTCAATGATGCAGTTAAAAAGGTCTGGGGCCGCTACGCATCCCTGCCTCACTCCGCTGTTGATGGAAAACCAGGTCGAGTTTGTGCCTTTGACACGCACACAGCTTTCGGCATCGCTGTAGAGCTTTTGGAACAAGGTGGTGATCTTGCTTGGAGCTCCAAGGATGGTGAGGATCTTCCACAGGGAGGTGTGGTCCACGGTGTCGAAAGCTGCCTTAAGGTCAAGGAAAGCGATGTAGAGGTGTCTGTTTTGCCGGAACTCATGTACCTTCTCAATGATGAGGCGGAGGGCAGAGATCTGGTCTGTGGTGGAGCGGTTTGGCATGAAGCCCGCCTGTTGGGGGCGTCTTTTGCTTCTAATGGCCGGGAGGGCCCTGGTGAGTAGTATGCGGGTGAAGATCTTGCCTGGGATAGACAGGAGTGTAATGCCTCTGTGGTTGCTGCAAACCATTTTATCACCCTTGTGTTTCCAGAAGGGAAGGATGACGCCCCTGGTCCAATCTTCCGGGGGGTGCTCAGTTACCCAGACGTGGTTGATAATTTCGGTGAGCCAGTCAATGGTGTTGTCACTGCCCCATTTCAGCATTTCCGCTGTGATATTACAGATACCAGGGGCTCTGTCATTTTTTAGTTTGGACAGAGCTTGCATGACCTCTTCTCTGGTGACAGGGTCTATGCTGCAGTTATCATTTGCACTGGCATTTTCGGAGGCGGCAGTGAGAGTGGGGTCGGTCTGGGGTGCAGGGTGATGCAGAAGATTGCTGAAATGCTCCTTCCAGCGGTTGATGCATTCATCCTCTGAGTTTAGTATGTTGCCCTGAGCGTCCTTTACCTGGACCACCTTATGTTGGGGGCCTGATTTCACTCGCCTCAGGGTTCGATACACTTGGGTGTAGTTATTATTTTCTACGGCGGACTCCAGGCGTTCTGCTTCTCCTTGCCAGAATCTCTCCCGGTCTTCTTGTATCGCAGTGTTGCGTATGCGATTAAGGCGATGGTATTCAATCATGTCGCCTCTGAGACGGGCGGCTCTGCAGAGCTCTATGATTTCTAGGGTTGTTGGTGATATCCAGGGACGCCTAGGTGTATGGTGGGGGCGTTGGATGGAGTCAGTAGCTGCCTGGTTTATAGTAGACACAAACAGATTCCAGTTGGTGAGTTCTTCTCTGGCCAGGGTATTATACCGGTTGGAGATGGAGCTGGTAAATGCTGAGGTGATGGTTGGATCCTGGAGATGGGAAGATCTCACTCTTGGTGGTGCCCGTGATGAAGGAACAGCCTTTAATTTCAGTCTCAGCTGGGCAACCAGTAATCGATGGTCCGTGTTGCCTAGCTGGGCACCACGGTACACACGACAGTTGGTAACACTGGATTTCCATCGGCTGGAGATGATGATGTGATCTAAGGCCTTGCGGGTTTTGCCATCATTGCTGTACCATGTCCATTTGTGTTTGTTTTTTCTGGGGAACCACGTGTCTACAATGGATAGGCCACCGGCACTGCATAAATGCTGGAGGCGGTTGCCGTTGTCGTTGGTGATGGGATCTGGAGATTCTGGACCAATTATGTTTTTGGTTTGCGGGTCCCGTGAGGCAGAGGAGAGGGTGGCATTGAAGTCTGCAAGGACAATAGTGATGTCATGTGGGGGAACCTGCAGGATGACCTGATGTAGCTGATCAAAGAATGCGTTCTTTGTCTCGTCGTCTGCGACCTCTGTTGGTGCATAGGCAACAATGATTGTTAGCTGTTAGCGAGCCGTTAGCAGACGTTAGCAGACGTTCGCTGACTGGGGTCCAGCCGATAAGGGATTTCCTCACATGGCATGGCATTGCAAGGGCGACGCCATATAACCCTTTCTTGTCATTTGGGCCGCTCCAGATGTAACTGTGGTCTTCCTCTCAGGGTCATAGGGACGCGCAAACCCCTCCACCACGATAAGGTGATGGTTCCTGGAGAGGATGTGTCAGACAGATAGTCTATTTCCCAAAAGTTTGAATAATAATCTACTGTGATAAGACAGTCATTGTTGTTAAATGAAAACAGATCTGTGCCTACTTTTGCCCACAGTCTGCTCAAGATGTCAAGTGGAAGAAGAGTCTCTTTCTGTTGTTTAACATCCAATGACCTGCAGATGTCACACTTGGCCACATGGGTTTTGATATGATTGTCTATGCCCTGCCTGTGGACTGTCTGGGCTTCTCCCCACAAACAAGCGGCTGCTGGAAGAGAGTAGGTGAGTTGTGTTTGGTCTCTTTGCGAAAGAAAAAGGCAAAGCTAAAAAGATGTTTGGTGGCTACTGCCATGGCTGGGACCCTATATGTACTGTTGATGAAGTTTGGTGCTATTCTGAGCATTATTTGTGGCTATAAAGCGGCTATTTGATTGAGGTGTGCACATGGAGCCATAGACCGCTGTGTATTGCTATAATGTGGTCATTACTAAAGTTGGTATAACTAGAGAAGCAAGCAGTCAGCTACATGAATCTCTCGAGGGGGTGTCGAACTCGTTGCTTTGGTGTGTTTGACCCTGAGTTAATTGTACGCCAGGATATCCCTTTAACTGCATCACTATTAGATTTTTGTACCTCAACTGGATTACGGAGGCAGTTTATAACTTTCGAGAAGCGGAGTTTGACCAGGAGATAATTCCATTACACTGCAGTAGTGTTGACATTTACAGTCAAAGTAAGAAAAAGTTAAACATAAAACATCAAAAAAAAAAAAGAAAACAAACAAACAAAGAACAACAACAACAAAAAAAGACGTGTGTGTTTTTTGGCAGACAGATGACAACAGCAGGGTTGTATCTTTTAGTTTATAACAGTATTTGATATAGAAATCTAACAGTGTGAAATCTTGGAGCACATAGAAAAACGGGAAACATCTAATTCCTTTACACAAATTTCATGATGAGACAGATTAGTACATTGCTCAATATATCGCATGTTATTATCAGTCATTTGTATTCTTTCAACAAAGGAATGCAGTTTTAAGGAAAAAAGACATGGCCAGTAGACTCTTACAATGCATGTCGGTCTGCCAGGTCTGACTGGCATCCTCCCCCTCCATCCGAGCCAACTCATCACCAGGTGGCAATCAGATGACAGCTCAGCCCCTCTCTTCAGCTGAGTATACAAGACATGTGGCTGCAAGTCTGACGACAGGACCTCAAAGCCAATTGCAGCCCAGGGTGTCCTGGTTCCAAGTGCACATGTGGACACCCTTATGTCTGAACATGGTGTTTGCTATGCACAAGCTGCACAGAAATCTAATTACAGTGCAAAAGTCAGGATCCGCCAGGTGAAGCCTTTCTTAACAGATGACTTGAATAGAAGCCAAGGCCCTACAAAAAAATAACCCTCAGAGCTTTTTATAAACTCTTGTAGTCATGCTTGAGTAGCATTTTTGGTGAGAGTGGGAATGTACACGACCACAACAAAGCAATGTACAACATATACCTTTTGTCTTTACCTTAGTGTTTCTCCTTAAAGGAGTCAGTCACTCACTTCTAAGCCATGCATGTACCTTACCTTTGTGCCTCTTATTTGGTCTCATTAATGTAGCCCTGTGACACAATGAGTTCATTGAACATAAACGTATTCCACAGAGCTGTTGTCTCTCATATTTACAGCAGTATGTACTGAGAGAGAGTACACATCACAGGCAGGTCACTGACCTAATATCTGCTAACAAATCGAATTCTTCTGTTCTCAATAAAGTGCCAATCTTTACAGTTTAACGAGGGCCTTACGCCTGGTTCACACAGGAAGCACCGCGCAAGTCCCGCACACCGAGTTTCGGATCGGCGCCCGTGTTAACCTTTGTGACTGTTCACACAGCGCGCGGGGGAGCGCCGCGCGTGGAACGGCTTGCGCTCTGGAGTGCCACCGCTCCGCTTCTCTCTATTTTTTACTGCAAGCGCCGCAAGCGCCAATTGTGAAGCTGGACAGAGCAGATTGGACCAGACAGGAAGTCGGAAAAGGAGATGCGAGAGAATCCGGTCAATTTTCAAAATAAAATAAATTTCAATAAACTAGAAAAAAATATTTACGGTGTTGCTTGTCGGTGCGCACAAACGGAGGGAGAGCTGCAGAGATTCAGTGATGTTATTGAGACAAAGGAGGGGGACTTTATTACGATAGAGTCAATAGCCTCGAGCTAACAAAGCTACACATACAATGGAGTCAACAGACTCCCCAATTCATTCGTTGTTTACCCCATATAATAATTTAAAACAATACTTGAAGACGCTGCCAATATTTAATTTATGTATGACGTAATAAAAGCATAAATAAATATTGATTTACCCATGTTTAAAGCGCTCGTTAGTGTGGAAAACTGAGGGCAGACGGAAACAGCCGAGCACTGCCGGGCTCAGTCAATGTCTGACTGGCGCAACAGAGCGCAGCAGAAAACGCTTTATGTGTGAACAGCCAAGCGCGCGAGGCGCTGTGCGCGCACAGCATCAGCGTCCTGTGTGTACCAGGCGTTAGGGGCAAAGGCACTGCAGGGGAAGCCCCGAGGCACTCTTGTTATACTGTGGGTTTTTTTCCTATTCCTCTTCCAGACAAATCTCAGTTTGCTACTAGTTCTACAGCTTGAAGAGTTGTTGGACAAATTATATTTCAAAACATGCGGACAAGCCAATTAAAGAGAGCAATTATTGGAGATTCTCACAAGTGTGAGGATTGTGTAACAGGAGTTTTCTTGTGAGGACCCAAAAGCAGGTAGCGGAGGCATTAGCAGTTTTAAGAGATTTTATTGATAGCTTTGTTGGTTGTGAAAGTGAGCTCTGAGGTCCAGGGAGTAGAAGAGATCCGTGGTGAGGAGGGGGAAGGGAATAGTTAGGGCTTGAGTACACCGCAGGTGAGTGAATCCATGAGAGGGTGTGGCAGTCATGGCAGAGGCTGGGCAAATGCTGTTGGCTGGCGGAAGCGCTGGAGGAGAAAAGTTTAACAGCAGGGATTAGACACTGGTAAGTTAAAACACACGTAAATATTCATCAAAGTTGCAATAACTTTAGGAGAGGCAGACCAAGAAACCACTGTGGAAGCTGGAATCATGTGGTGACGAGTAGTCTTCAAAGCAGAGTTTAAAAGCAGGTGGTGATTAGAAGATCAGGTGCAGGTGCGAAGTGTAGGAGGAGCCAGCGCTGATTAGGAGCTGCCCAACCTTTGTGAAGGCAGAGACTCATCCTGGATAGTATGGAAAGCCAAGTGAGTATTTATTCAATATCCATGATATCACATGTCAAAAACACACACTAGTGCACCAGTAAGCTGCAAAAACTCTGACATGTTAACTAGTCAATCATGAATTATGGTTTCTAGTGAACTAGTGCATACAATTGTATGCTACTAGTTAACTAGTGAAGCCTAACATGCTCACTAGTTAACTAGTTCATCCCATAGACTGTATATACTGTGGACAATTTGGTTCTGCCTCCCGCCTGTATACGGATTTGAAGCCAAACAGCTCTCAGTATTTCCGGGATTTTTTTTTAATTCCTGAAACCAGCGTTCTGCAGTAGCGATGTGCGCAGTTGCTGTGATGACGCTCAGCTCAAACAGCGTATCCCCCAATCCCTGAACGCCCATAGGCTGTATCAGGTGTCAATCATAGGAAACATGAACCCCCTAATAACTTTTGAAAACAGCCGTACAGAAAAAAGATTACTTGAGCACACACCAGTCTTACTGTAACTACATGTCAACATCGCAAGCAGGGGGGGGGGAAATTATATTCTGTGTAATAAATTTCTAAAATTTGTCTACAGCCCCATAAGCTTTGCCGGCGGAGGCGGGATTTATGATCTATACTGCAGCCCATCAACAGAGGGTGCTGTTCTCCGAGTGGCTTCACCCAGAGAGGAGGCAGACTCTGTCCATTCTTTATACAATCTATGGTTCATCCCTTATACTAGTAAACTAGTGGCTTAAGTTGCCTACTAGTTCACTAGTTAACTCATTTGCAGCTGCACTAGTCGACTATTGGGTTTTAACATGTATACTAGCTTACTAGTTTAAGGAAAAATATACACTAGTTAACTAGTTACAGAACAAAAACTTATGATGTGTGAGGAGCATGTAATGAGGCTTCCCATGGCTCCTCACTTCAAAATTAAAACATGACAACCAATGAAAAGTCAGGATTTTGTTCTATCCCGCCTGCCACATTTGCACTCGTTGACTAGTAAACATGTTGCCTTAGGAAATGCAGCATGTGAACTAGTGAGTGCCTCTTGGTGAGTACATGTCAACAATTAACAGGAACGGTGCTTACTGGTTAACTGTCAACTAGTGAAGCTTCAAAATTTTACATGTCAAAATGTCAGCTAGTGAGAGCCACCGTGTCCACTGCTTTTGGCATTTCTGGCTTTACATGTTAACATGTACCTGCAGTTTTTCTTTCTATTAAACTAGCTGTATCCAGAAAAATGAACAAGTTAACTAGCAGCACTGATATTTTGCTCACACGCTTATTAGAGAAAAGCCATCTCTATCATTAGTTAACTAGTCATGCAACACAATTTTACTAGGCAACATGTATGGCAGTCACACTGTGTCACTGGTTAACTTGTTGCATTAATTTTGCTCCACTAGCTCACTGCTAAGTAAATGTGTTTGTCACTGGTAAACTTGTTGCTTTTTTGGGCGTTACTAGTTTACTAGTGAAAGAACACGTCAGTAACTAGTGAACTAGTAAGATGACCTTTACATAAAACTTTAAAAATTCAGATTTGTAGCAATTAATTGTTAACAGGTGAATCATTTGACCTGTAAAAGGTTACTAGTGAGAGCAAGCAGGGGTTAAGTAAGTGTGAATCTCCTTTTCTAGTTAACTAGTCAGCATCTGAACTTATCTAATTAAAATTTATAAAATATCTAGTTACTTAGATATTTTGCCCTCATTAGTTGACCAGTGAGGCCAATTTAACTTCCCTTAGCAACAATGACCTTTTCTCATTGAACAGCAAACTTTTTTATTCTCTTTTTTTACTGATAAGGTCCAAATGGGGTCTAACTAGTTAACATGTCAGCATGTAGACCATGACTTTTACCTTGTTAAAAAGGAACAACTGTGCACTAGTTTTCTAGTGGCCTAGTTGACATACATGCAAATGAAGAGGATGGGTCATAAATTTGATTGGTTGGTTTTAAAACTGTGCTGAGGTCTTAAAGTGACAGTAGACCCCAATGCTGAAGCTGGAATTTATTTCACAGCCTCCTATGGGATTTTTCCTGTCCACCTTAAATATTTCATATCACCTGTTAATGTGAGTGTTCAGCCACAGATTTCACAATAAAAATGGATGCTCGACTCACTTTGCATTCCTGGGGCCTCATGTATCAATACTTGCGTGGAACTCATACCAGAAACGAGCGCACACAAGGTCCGTCACGCTGAAAAAAATCTGTATGTATCAATGTGTGCGGGCGCCGAAATCCACGTGTGTTTCCTTGATAAATCCCAATCAGCGTGGAATTGAGCGCAGATGTCGGAGTGACTGGGCCAGCCCCCGTTACGCCCTCCTATAAATATGCAGATTTATTTAAATCGGGTCTCCCTGTCCTCGCACGCAGACAAAATGACAAGAAAAACTAAATTTACGGTGTGTGAGGTGGAGGTGCTGGTGGCGGAGGTGGAGGAGCAGTCAGTGCAAAACTAAAACGCTTGGAGTGGGAGAAAGTTTGCGAGAGGGTGAATGCGGTGGGTTGCGAGACACGCACCCCCGCGGAGATTAAAATAAAGTGGTCGGACCTCAAGGTGGAGGTCAAGCGGCGTACAGCTGCCCTCCGGAGGAGTACCGGCCAGACAGGTGGGGTTCCGGGGGAGGAGACCCTCACGCCGTTTGAGCAGCGGGTGGTGGCGATTATTATTATAGGGTAAGTGGCGTGTCACACAAATGTCCACATGCTTTGCCATCCCACTGTGCAAAAGACGTATATTAGACGTCTAGTCTAAGTTTATACTTCATTTCAACGTCGGGATTCAGTCTATTTTTAGACGTGATTTATACTTCGCCCTTTACTTCATTTTTCGATAACTTTTTATGCAATAAACAACTGTAATGTGCATAACTGACCTCTAAATACTGGATTACATTACCTATGATACCGTGGAGAGAAATGTAAACGCAACAGATACACAGAAGCAGGAATTGAAATGAACCAATATTTTTATTGTGTCACAGAAATCAATGTGTCGGCCGTGTCGCCGGCTTGCGGAACCCCGGCCCGCGGCAGCCCGTCCGCCGGCTCGGAGTCGTCGGCCAGGACCAGCGGCATTCGGGCCACCCCGGACCCCGGCCCCAGCACCAGCACCAGCACCAGCATCAGCATCAGCGCGCCGACAAGCGCTTCCGCTGGACCACCCGGACGCAGTGGGAGGGTCCTCGTGGAGGGGGTCCTGCAATCGCAGGAAGAAATCATCAGGGGGATCGCGGGGATCAACGAGCGGCTGGACCGGCTCGTAAATGTCCTCGAGCGTCTGGTGGAGAAAATAAATTAATTTGGCTCATTGAACTGTGTATTCACTTCTTACCCATTCACACTGTGGCGATGAGATTCTCCCGCGCGAGGACGGCGGCCCGGCAGGGATCAGCTCGCATCCCTCCGTCTGCTGCTGGTTCGTCATGTGGGGCGACGTGCTGCTCGGCCACGGGGATGTGGTGCACGCTTGTCACATAGTGAGTCACCAAACACCGCCACACAGCGTCGCCAAAGTGCGAATCACAGTCAACGCAAGTATCGGCTCAACGCCAATTTCTACACCACCTCCTGACTTTGCGTTGATTAGCGCTGGAACCGACGCTCGTTTCGCGATGATAAATCTGGACGTGTGCGCCGATTTTGGCGTACGCAAGGTTTTCTTGCGCCGCAAGCTTTGATACATGAGGCCCCAGGTCCTTTTAATAGTTAGATAACAGCAGCAGATACACAACACTTCGACCTGATGGTCTTTTTCGAGTGAATCCACAGCCACAGATTTCACTCACTCGTTCTCAAAGATCAACAAAAAAAGGGGATAACAATACATTGCTCCATGATGGGGTGTAGGGATGAAGAAGGTCAGAAAACAGGCACTGCTAGGCCATGGAGGAACTTCAAGGAGGAGTTGAAGGAGTGATCAGTGTCTCTAACACTCATCCACCCATAGGCCATACAGTGAACCCCGTTTTCATGTCATCCCACAGAAGGTGGCCACATGGTCTCCACACTGAAGTGTAGCAAGGATATTGTAGAACTAAAAAAAATATCCTGTTCCGACTTCCTGTCTGGTCCGATCTGCTCTGTCCAGCTTTACATCAGCGCGCGCGGCTCGCGCCGAAAATAGAGAGAAGCGGAGCAGCCGCGCTCCAGAGCACGAGCCGTTCCGCGCGCGAGCTGTGTGAACAGTCTCATAGGTTAACATGGGCGCCGATCCGAAACTCTGTGCGCGGCGCTTCCGTTCCGCGCGCTGCGCTTCCAGTGTGAACCAGGCGTTAGTGGGCTCTGTGACATCTATATCTTGGCTACTACGTAGCCCTCAAGAGCCACATGACGAGCCTGCGGGACTGCTCTAAAATGTAATTTATTCTGTTGCTATGATTTCTGCATCAGTCTATCTAATGGTTTCCCCCTGTGCATTATTAGCCTTGCGTCCCGCCCGGCTTTGCTTGCCAAACTGCTATGCAAAGCATCCCTGTTTGATTGATTTTAGATACATGGTAGAATCGGAGCCAACACCGTGCTCCTACGAAAGTAAGTGACCGACTTTGCTCACCACCCCTCCCCTCCGCCCCAATGACCACCAGATTGAGCCTCAGTTCGGGGGAAACTCTTGATATGAAAATGATGTCTATGGAGTTTAGGACATCTGACCATTTTCAGTTCAAAGGTCAAAGCAAACTAGTTATTTTAGAAAAGTGTATCAGACTAGCCTGGCATGATTCCATATCTGTAGGCTACCCTTGACAAACCGATCAGTGTAAAAAATTTAGTGAACCCTGTGTTTTGTTATTACTTTAGGACTGTTATAGGGTAATTGTGTTATTTTGCAGCACATGGCTGTCAGACAAAAGACAGGGACATTACCAGAACTAATATCACTGAACAGAACTAAATATCACTCCACAGAAACAGCCCTGCTCAGAATGCCCAATAACATCCTGATGTCCTCTGATTCCAGCAGATGTTCTGTCCTGGTCCTGCTGGATCTGAGTGCAGCTTTTGACACAGTTGATCATGCCATTCTTCATGACAGGCTGAGAGAATGGGCAGGTGTTTCAGGAACGGCCCTGCAGTGGTTCTCCTCCTTCCTCAGTGAGAGATGTTTTACTGTAACATTTGGTTCTATCAATTCTGATCCTGCTCCTCTTATCTGTAAAGTTCAAAGGGGTTCAGTGCTGGCGCTGACACTATTTGCTATTTACATGCTCACTCTTGGTCATCTCATCAGCAGCTTCCCAGGTGTCTCCAATCACTGATGACATCCAGCTTCATTTCGCTTTCAGTCCTGAGAACATGCAGATCCTAAGCATCCTGCTGGAATGTCTGGCTGCCATTGAGAGCAGGATGTCCAAGAACCTCCTGCAACTTAATGTGGCTGAGACTGAGGTGTTGATCTTTGCTCCTGACAGTTTAGAAGCTAGGGTTCAGGAACATCTGGGCCCTCTGAAGAACAACATCCAACCCAGTGTTCGAAACCTTGGTGTGCACTTTGACCAGTTGATGCATCTTGAACAACATGTTAAGAATCTTCTAGTAGCAGCCGATTGTTTCACACAAGGAGCTGGAGATGGCTGTTCATGCATTTATTTCATCCAGGTTGACTATTGCAGCTCTCTCTACACATCTTAACAAATCTTCTCTTCACCATCTGCAGCTGGTCCAGAATGCAGCAGCCAGACTGCTCACAAGGTCTAAGAAGTCATGTCACATGACTCCCATCCTGGCTGACCTGCACTGGCTTCCTGTTTACTTTAGAAATTCAGTACAGGTTGCTGCTGATCACCTACAAGGCCCTCACCGGTTGTGGTTCCTCGTGTGTGGAACTCTCTCCCTCGGGACCTGAGGGAGGCTACGTCTTTAGAAAGCTTTAGGGGGCAGATTACAACACACCTGTTTATAAAAGCTTTTGTGCTCTAGGCTTGTATGACGCCTGTCTAACTTATTCTTCCTAATTTTCTTAGGTGTTGATACTTCTGACTAATTACCACTGTTTTTCTCAGTTTCTTTGGGTTTGTGGGACTCCTAAATGACTGTTCATTTATTTATTTAGCTATTTTCTGCAGGTCCTACTTTTATATTTAGACTGTTTTTTTTTGTCCTGATTTGTTTATTTTTACTTCATAACTCTTGTAAAGCGCTCTTTGCACTAGCGCTGAAAAGAGTGCTATATAGATGATTAGTTAAGTTATTCCTTATTCCTTATTCCTTATTCTCTTATTCCTTTGTCTCGACTCCCAGCCAGACCTGTGTTTCGTGGAAGCTCCTTTTGTGTTAGAATATTGGAAACTTTGTGAATTTTGATTTGTCTTTCATGACAAATAGTTTAAGTTGTTTCAAGAGCAGTCTGGTAGGTAGGGGTGGGCGGCTATTTGATTTCACAAACTTTTCTTGTGTTTTGGATTAGGGAGGCAGGTAAGACCCCCTGTATTTTATTTACTACAATTTCTTTTGTTAGGTTAGATAGCTTTAAATAAAAGAGGTTTTGTCTGTTGTTTTGGCCTGTGCCCACCCTGAAGTCGACTACCATTTATGTTGAGCAATAAATTCATTTAAGACTGCAAATTCTGGTTGCCTGTCAGTTTTGCAACAACTTGGAATACAAATCTGAGAATAGCAGAACTGGGCGTTTGATGTGTTTCTGATTTATGTTGTGATGATATGAGCTCGTTAAAGCGCTGATTTTGCTGCTGCATACGTTTGTGTGTGAGCCTAGACCACGTGGATCATTATTTTGATTGCAGTGAGGCTGCGTTTTCTGCTGTGCGCACTGCCGATGCGCGTACCCAGACTGTTAACTTTTGAGTGCACGATTTCAGCGTCGCCGTACGCTTGTGTTAAAAGGCCTTGGGCCGGACCCGGGGTTCGCGAAGCTCCAAGCCGGGGTTCCGAGTCCCTGAACCCTGTATAGTCTGCTACGAAGTTCTAGTGACTGTAAAGGATTCAGTTATTCCTCATTATTCCCCAGATTAGCTACCTGTCGCGAGAGATCACTGTTTCAATGAGGTTTTGTTAGAGTGATTTCAGACACAATTCTTTTCACAAATCGCCGCATTTCGTGAATTTAAGTCCGTAGTTTTGTCTGCTGTTGTATGATCTGTCTGTGTAACTCTTGTTACTCCCGAGAGGAGTATAGTGAAGCAATCCGCTGTTAGAGAGGCAGCGTAAACTTTTTCATTGCCACTGCTTGCGCAGCCGCAGTGAGGTGTTAACCCTTTGTGTCCGTTAGAGAGACTAGTCGATCGGTGCATGAAGAGGCATGCCACCTCGAGGGGTGGAGCCCAATAGCTACGTCCTAACGTTGCGTCGCGATGTACAGAGCGGTTGAACCGCCCCCTAGAACATCGCCCTCGTGTGTTGAGCGGCAAGCACTGCAAGCCAGCTCACAGCCACGTGGCCTTTGTTTGCTCGGACGTCATTATAAACAGACTGCAGTTTAGCCGACTGCCACGCCTCCCTGTTGTCAAACAGATGCCATGCAGACATAGTCAGATTGAGTTTCATTTTTCTGTACTACAAATAAAACGTTGATTTACTTGATAAACAACTTTTATTTTTACTCTATACAGATAGATCGCCTGCCTTATCAAGTAGAATAGCTGAATCAAATCTTTGTCATCCTGTAATCATTGTTCCTTGCCTCCATCTTTCTTTGACCCTATTATTCTATTTTAGCTTCCTTTGTTTATTTCATCCCGGAAATAAACATCCAGCTATTTTATCGTGAACCAGACTTTGCTTAAAGCGCTTATCCTCTGGTCCCAAATTCAAAACTTTTCTCAAATTGTTTTATAGGCACTGCTATTTTGATAAACTCATTAACCTACCAACCTTACTAAACTTGAATCAACATGGCAGAACGTCAGGAGGCAGGTTGGCAACAATTCAATGAGGAGCTATAGCATATGCTGACAATTCTGACTCAGCCGCTGCTCCCAGGCTATTTAGACGAAATGAATCGCACTGATACCAGCGGGCTTGAAAATGTGCTGGCTGAGGTGATCGATTGGGTCGCACTGAACCCACCTGAAGAAAAAGACATCCCCAGAGCTTTAGCACACTTGGCTAGTGTGATGTCTGTCCAAATCAAGAGACAGGACGAAGCCATGAAGAGGGCCCAAGCACAAATACGGGCACAAATGAAGGGAATTGATGATCTCAAAGGGGAGCTGGGATGCACTGAAAGGGCTCTACAGCAGACTCGAGACCGTTTGGATGAGATGCAAACAGAGCCTCCATCCCCACCTGATCAAGACCCTTCCTTAGTAACCCAAATCTCAGACTTGCATGACACTATTGAAAAAAAGGAAGCTCAGCTTTCGGATGCTAAGTCAACAGTTCTTGAGCAATTACAGGAGCTATCAAGAATGAAAAGCAGCCTAGATCAGTCCTCAACTGATGCAAGGGACTGGAAGGCCCGGTTTGAAAGCAAAAGGGTGGCCCTTGAAGCCGAAGAGAGACATTCTGCTAATTTAAAGCAAATGCTCCTAGAGACTCAGAATAAACTTAGTCTGGGTCAACCCCAGCAAGATCAGAGCAGGCGATCAACAGACGCTCCAATACCCTACCTTTCGACCGAGTCGTGTCTCCAAAGGACATTTGGGTCAATCAAGTCCTGATGACACCGGACGGAACCCTGGTCATACTTTGTTGCCCCTCTCCCAACCAACACCTTCTGGGTATCATTCACAAGGGCCACAATACTCTCTCGGCCCCACAGGGCTTTCTCTGAGCTACCAACCTCAGTCCACGCCTGCTGCTCGTCAAGCGGCATATCCCACAGACAAGGATCTTGACGAAATGGCTCGTAACATCACATGATTTGAACCCATTTGTAAAGGTTCAGAAGACCCAAGCACCTACTTGAAAGACATCGACTTCTACTTGAGGAAGTTTCCAGGTGCTCTTGTGGATGACAAAATCTACTTGATCAAAGCTACCTCCAATCGAGAGGTTAGCAGCTTCATTGAACGACAACCCTGTCGGGTCAAGAACGACTGTGACCTGCTGTGCCAGGCATTAATTGACGAGTTCTCTGACTCCCTTACACCCACTGGTTTAGCTGCTGCACTGTTAGTCAAACAGGAGAGACAGGAATCTCCCCAGTCATACTACAGTCGCCTGCCCCAGGCTTACTTAGGTTGTCAAAATGAACCTGAAATGGAGGAAGATCTAAACTTTAAAACTTTGTTTATTCAAAACCTCCATCCGACCACGAGTCATCATCTTGGTGTTGTTGCTTGTCCCCGAACCTTAAACAGCAGACAGCTCCGCGAACCGACTGTAAAAGGCTTCGCTAGACAGCGACATACCCAATCTAAAAGATCTGAACCTGGTACTGTCTTGGCTGTGGACACAAGGTCCATGCCCCTAGACCTGGAGGGCGGTGCCGTGGGTGCGCATTCAGCCAGCTGATAAAGGTCAAAACCTGAAGCAGCCTTGGTCTGACAGTGGACAACACCAGGTTAGATTTGACGAAAATCGGCCACCCTCATACTCTTGTAGGGGTGAGGCCCACCCTAGAAGGGATGACACCCATCGACCCTACCGACCTGACAACAGGGGGTGGAGGGACCGGTCAGATCGTTATGGTCCACGCCGAGAACGAAACTCCGAGCGACCTTACCCGCAGTCTCATTCGGTACTCTCTGATGAAGAGATGGGTACAAAGACCAAATCAGACCCTCCCCAGAAGGGTGATGGATCTAAAGGTGAATCAAAGTCCTCTGATCTGACAGAGGAAGAACGCAAACTTCTTAGGCAAATAATCAGTAGAATACGGAGAAAAGGAGATGATAAAGCAGATCTCTTCGCTGTTGCCGTCACCGCTGTCCAGGCTGACACTTCTGAGCCAAGCATGGTGTCTGTCCAGCAGACTGCAGTTCAGAAGGAAGTGTGTATGTCCTTACAGGAGTTTGCGACACCTTCACCGGCTGACACCTCTGTCGATCTTGAACCTCAGGACAGTACATCACAGGAAACGACATCTACCAGCGCCGTCTTGGCAGTGCAGGCGAACTCCGCAGAGGAGCCAGCCAAAGAAGACTCCCCACTTATTCGGCTTGAACCACCTTTCCTCCAATTCTTGTGCAACCTCACTGAGAAAGGCATCGCACAGAAGTTTTACATCAACACCGTTCTTGAAAATGAACTTCAACACGAAGCATTCTTAGACACTGCTGCTGACAGCACTCTGATGTCCTCAACGCTTTTTAACCACTTGGGCAATATGGTGCAGCAGTCCAACAGGGACATCAAGCTGCAGCCCTGCGCCATGGAGATTCGGCTGTACTCCACAGACAGTACGACTTTAAAAACAATGACCATGTTGAACATCTCCATTGGACCAATGAACATCATGCACCCCGTGTATGTGTCACCCTTTGAGTCAATTCCTTTCCTCATTGGTGAAGACTTTTTAAAACGGTTTGAGCCCCTCATCGATTATCGACAGCTGAAAATATGGGCACAGGTCTGCAGACCAATACCCATACCAGCAACCGACAGAAATCGGGCTGTTACGCCCTGACGTGTCAACTTGCTACAAGCACACTGGCAAGTGTAAGCTCACCGGAGCAACCCTACTTGTCTGACGATGAGCCACAACCTTGTTCGTGGCCTTTCGATGATCACTGATGGCGTTGAGTTGAATGAGAATCACGTCAACGATGGGATTTTGGCTCTTTGGGCCGACAAATCGGCCATCAGCCGTGAACTGTATGATACCTTGTCTAGGGATGACCCAAACCTTCAGTGTGTTTGGAAAGCATTTCGCTTCCCCTTGGACTCCCTTCCTAAAGCTACCATGACCGCTGAAAGCGCCTGTGCCTTAACTGTACGATGGAACAAAAAAGGGAGATGACTCACCACTTCTTGGTCATCCCAGACCTACCACATCATGTCTACATGGGAAGTGATATACTGGTCAGGTTGGCAGTCCAGGTCGATACCATTAACAACGTGCTGTGGTCACTTACCGGTGTACATGAGGAAACCCAGACCCCTGATGTCGATAACATCATATCAGGACCGTCGATCCCTGAAGCCTGTCAGGTAGCCAATGAACATAACATTGTCATACCTGCGATGACCAAAAACGTTCCCATTCGCTTGAACCTACAACGTGGACAAAAGCTTTCGCACACACTCAAGTTTTCTTCCAGCCATCGTTGCTCTTTCTTGAGCTAGGGCTGTCTACTCAGGCAACCCCTCTTTTAGAGCTTCACTTGAGATTCACACACTTGCTTGTACAAAACACGACATCAGAGGATATCCTGATCCCTAAATCCACCCCGCTGGGTTGGTTGATCAGCACTTTGTTCCAAGACTTTGAATTGAGGATTCCTGTAATAGGAAAAATGCCTCGTTCTCTTATATCAGACCATTCATCGGAACAGGTCTTTCATTTTTCCAATTATCTTGGAGGCCAAAAGGTGATTGTGGAAACCAACCATCAACCAGTGACCTTCCTTAACAGTCAAAGAATCAGAGACGGCGTTGTGACCAATGCTCGTGTAGCATCTTGGCTTATGGCTCTTCAGAGCTTTGACATCGAGGTCCACTAAGCCCAAAACCGCAAAACACCTCTGGGTATGGAACTCGCAGCATGCCAAAGCTGCTTAACGGACAGCTTGGACACAGGGTCCCCGACCTATGACCCCGAGCCACCTGAATTATCTTGCCACCAGTACTTTGACGACACTGTTATCCGTGCAGGCGTGGGTGTCGTCTGGGTCGACAACAAACCGTGTGAACCACTCAGCTTTAACCTAGGGGCCCAAACGTCCCAGTATGCTGAAGTGGCAGGCATTCTGATTGTTTTGCAACTTGCTGTGGAAAACAAAATCCACGCCTTGACGATCTGTACAGACTCCAGCTATGCGCAACTCAGCTTCTCATGCCATCTGCCTTTGTGGAAACGCAACGGTTTCTTGACCTCGAACAGAAAGCTGGTCAAACACAAATAACTGTTCCTGGCGTGCGACTTCTTGACCACTAAACATGATCTCCAGGTCTACTGGAAGAAAGTCAGGGGGCAGTCTCGTATTCCTGGTCCAGACAAGATGTTTAATGACCAGGCTGACTGCTTAGCCAAGCAGGGAGCCTTAACTGGCTCAAACTGGCACTTTGAGCCCTCTGTTTTTCCCCTCCCACCCGTGCCCCTGGTTTGTGCTGTCACCAGAGCCCAGTCTCAAGCTCCGCCTCGCCCGGCTCCCTCGGGCCCGGTCTCCGCCACTGTGGCTCCAGCTTTTTCTGACTCTGACTTGCTGGCGCTCCAGGCTTCGGACCCAGCCATTGCTGCCATGATGCCAATTCCTTTCAGGGCCTCCTGACTCCTCCGTGTCTCCTGACATCCCTGATCTGTTCCATCTTTTCCATGTGCGCTCTTAGCTGCGGCTCGTCAAGGGCTTTCTGGTTTATGCCTCCAATGCACTCCGTTCGCCTGCCCTGGTGGTACCTCGCAGCCACAGGGGGGTGATGTTGACATATGCCCATGACACACCGTGCGCAGGACACAGAGGAAACAAAGCCACGCTCCATGCACTCCAACAGGTGGCCTATTGGCCACACATGCAGAAAGATGTAGCTGACTACATAAAAGGGTGCCTGGTTTGCTGCCAATTTCAACTGGCAAATCCACTTCACCGAGCACCTGGGACTGGGACTGGGATATTAAGCTTCCCTTGGTCCTGATGGCCATCAGAGCGACTTCACACAAGTCAACCGGGTTCTCACCCTTCGAGCTGATGACGGGCAGACAGATGACACTGCCTCTGCACCTGCTGTATCAGCCAGGTGAGGCCAGTATTGCAACGGCCTACACGACTCATCAGTACATGACTGACCTACACCAGCACCTGAAGGCAACTTTTGCCTTCACCCAAGAGCATCTCAGCAAAAGTGCTGAAGGACGCAAGTCCTATTATGACCAAAAAGCCTCCCAACAGGAACTCCAGGTGGGTGACAAGGTGTGGTACTACCTGTTCACCCAGCCCACTGGAGACAAAGCCCCAAAGTCTGGGAGACTGGCACGAAAGTTCCTGCCCTGCTGGGCAGGCCCGTACCTGATTACCGAAAAGCTCTCTTCTGTTGTGTACCAAATTAAGATCTCAAAGGGCAACAAAGAGCCGACCCTTAAATGAGTCCACCGCAACCAGATCAAACTTCACCACAACCCCATGGGACTTGTCGGGGCCTCCACCGCCACCCTTGAGTCATAAACTAGAACAGTTCCAAGTTCTCCTGATTAACGTCAGGTCCCCTAGTCCTCTGATATATTGTGTCTACGTGAAGTTTGTCCTATTTGTACGTCTGTATTGGTGTTGAATTGTTGTCACTGAGTTGCCCTCGGGGCACACTTTGGGTCGCAAAGGGGGGAGGAGTAGATAAAGTGATAGGGACCACTTGAATTTTAGATTGTCTAAGGGGAAGTAGGGGAATTGCAGGCTCTCTCTGTACAGGAGAGTTGCTGTGGCTTCCTTCCAGAGGATGCAGGTGTCATCCTCCGTCCTAACCCGGCATTCTTGCCTTAGTGTGGTGAGACGCCTCCTCATCTTGTTTTATTTTGGCTGGACTTCCTGTGTTTCCCTGTTTGCCTGGTCCGGCTTTACTCTCTTCCAGAGCTTCCTCCCCTACCCCGGTCGCTGAGGCTGAGTGAGACTACACACCTGCTCCACATCTCCAATCAAGGCACTTTAAGAAGCCTGCAGCCCTCAGTCTCAGCGCCTGAGTATTGTCTACCCTTCCTAGCGGTACAGACGCGTCTCCTGGCCTTCCTCTTTGTAAGAGTATCTGTAACTTTGCTCCTTGTGATTCTGTGCATGTTCACTTACCTACCTCTCCTCTGGTTTTGCCTGCAGTGTCTCCAGCCCACACGACAGCCAGCCAGCCAGCCTACCAGACTTCCTCTTTTTGCATTTACAACCTTTGTTTGGACATTAAATTACACCTTAAGTTGATCTCTGTCTCCGTGTCTGCTTCTGGGTCCTCACAACTCACCAGCCACACCACACTAAGGTGATCACTGATTTTCACTTAAATCAGTCGGTGGAGCTGCGACCCCTTAAGCCCCCCCACAGGGCAGATAGGAGTGTGAAATGGTCTGCACTGTGCCCAGTTAGGGTGCTGAGGGTTTATATTCAGCGTACAGCTGCGTTCAGGAAGTCTGATCAGCTGTTCGTCTGTTTCCAGCCACAGCGTCTGGGGAAGCTGGTGTCTAAGGCGAGGCTTTCTCACTGGGTCATGGAGGCAATCCCCCGCGCATACAGTGAGACAGGTGGGCCATTGCCGGAGGGAGTGAGAGCCCACTCTACACAAGACGTATCCACCTCCTGGGCCTTGTGGCATGGGGCTGCCCTTGCAGAAGAATGTGCAGCCGCCACATGGGCGACCCCAAATATCTTTGCCAGGTTTTATAGCCTGAACATGGCCACCAGTGCCTCCTTTGGGGAGCGCGTGCTGGGGGCCATGTCATCCTGAACACTATTTACGTTGCCTAGCAGAGTGCAGGCTATCTGAGTGGCCTCTTCCTTGCACCCGGCCCTTGTGTCTGGCAGGGTTGGTGAGGCAGGAATTGTATACGTGGGGTGGCAGCACGTAGCGTCTGGCGGGGTTGCTACCTCTTGTTTGTACATTTGTATATAGTTCTGTGGTGATTTTGTACACACTGTAAATTTCGTGCACCCGGGGTGGGGATGTCTCTCTTCGAAACTGCCTCAGGGAGTTTGCAATTGGAGCAGTGTCTGCTCTGTCTCCTTGGGAACTGCTCGCAGTGTGTCTTACAGAGCCCGTAACATATATTCTATATGTAGTGGAGAGATATTCTCATACGATAGAGAACGTGGGGTTACAGTGTAACCCTGGTTCTCTGAGAATAGAGAATATCTCTCCACGTCAAGGCCGCTCGGGACCCGTTCAAATCAGAATGAATCAGCTGATCCCTGCGCAGCTGGGTCCATTTATAGGGCGCAGGGATGCCACGGTAGGCGTGGTGTGTCTTAAAGACGTCAGCTGCTAGAATGTCAGTAAATCCCATAACATATATTCTATATGTAGCGGAGAGAGATTCTCTATTGTCAGAGAACCAGGGTTACACCGTAACCCCACGTTATCATATACCTAGCATCACCTGACCAATCGCTACCAAACTTAATGGAAGCAATTACAGAGTATAGTAAACATTCCGGTTATAAATTAAATGAAAGTAAGTGTGAAGCATTAACACTTGGCGAACAGTTACCAGTAGAAATCAAGGAAAGATATAAACTGAAATGGGATTTTAAAAACATTAAATACTTGGGAATTTACCTCAATGGAGATTTAAAAACGTTGTATATAGACAACTATCAAGCTCTAGAGAATAAAGTGAAGCAAGATCTAAATAGATGGCGGGTAATACCTGAATCACTACTGAGTAGAGTTGAAAGTGTTAAAATGATGATTCTTCCACAATTTCTGTTTTTATTTCAGACTCTGCCAATACCCATACCACATAGTAGCTTTAAAAGATGGAATTAAATGATCTCTGATTTTATTTGGAATTATAAAAGTAAACGGAAAAATTTCAGTTTATTAACTCAAACCAAAGAAAATGGAGGGCTTAATCTCCCAGATTTAATGTCCTACTTTCATGCTACTCAAATTGACATCATAACGAAATGGTTGAATAACTCGGTTAAAACAAAATGGAAACTAATAGAAAAACAATTAACCTTAATATCAATTAGAACATTACCTCATTTAAGTTTAAAAGATATTCAAAAATATAGCGGAAGTAATGCATGTGTTGAAAACACTTCAACAAATTGGAAATGTATCCGTAAAATGTATAAATGTGATGCAAGTTGTATATATTTGAGAGAGATCGCCAGAAATCCAGATTTTCTGCCAAATAAAACTGATAAAATTCCAGAAGAATGGACTAGAAAGAGATTACATGTGTATTCACAGATAATTACAAATAACACAATAGACTCATTTGAAACTTTAGTTAACACATTTGATATAAGCAATAATCCTTTTTTTAAATACCTACAAATCAGTGGCGGCTGCTGGTCTTTTGAAGGAGGGGAAGCTCATTTTTCTGGTCTACATCATAATTGTGCTTGTTTATTTATATGTAACAGAACAGAGTCGCCAAACACAACGGCAGTCGTTTTTAACGAAGACAAAAGTCACTGAGGATCGGTAAAGTCTCCGGAGCAGTTAAGAACAACGGAATGAATAACTTGGAAAATGCTCCGGTAGATGTTTTATTCTTCAAGATTGCTGATTCGCTTGTTTAGCTGTCAATCAAAAAAGGATTTCGCCTCAGACAGCTCATCCAATCATGGATGCAGAAGCTCAGCGTCTGCGAGAAAGTTGGGACCGCCCTCTCGTCATAGAACTCCAGAGACGCTAAGCGGCCGATGGGCGGGACAAAGCCCAGCATTTATCCAATGAGCGTCTAGTTTCGCTGCTGGAACAACCAGCTTCCACATTGAAGTCAGCAGACGCTGAGCGGCTGTGTGAAGCGCTGAGGCGCTGCGAGGATGAATGAGAACGAAGTTGTGCCGGTTACCTGTGGTTATCAGCTTCTTATCACAGTGTGATAAGAAGCTGATTCTGAACAAAAGATGAAGGCTTTCTAGTGCGTATTTAGTTAATGAAATGTACACACAGCAGTACGTATTTCACCACTTTTTCTTTTTTTTGGGGGGGTGACATTTTAAGGGAAGCTGAGCTTCCCTTGCAGTCTTAGAGCAATCGCCACTGCTACAAATTAGAAGTTATCTTATGAAACATCAAAGAGAACAGGGACAGAGAATTCATGAGATAATAGACTTTTTGAGCAAAAATAAAAATAGTGAAAGGGGCTAAATTTCAAAACTTTATAGAATTATGCAAGAAATTAAGATTAAAGTTGATAATACGAAAGAAAAATGGGAAAATGAATTGACAACAACAATCAGAAGAAGATTGGAAAGAAGCATGTAAAAGAATTTTTTAAACAACACAATCAAAGTATTGGAGAGAATTTGCTTGGAAAATTAACATGAAGACTTTTTTAACACCCAAAACCCTATCAAAATATAGACCAGCAGGCAGTGCAGAATGTTGGAGGAAATGTGCAGCGACGGAAGCCAATCATGCCCATATTTTCTTGCTCTGTCCAGTGTTAAAAGAATTTTGGGAAACAGTAAAGGTGGAAATAGCAAATACATTTGGATTGAGGAATCCCTTATACCCAATTAATATATTATTAGGCATTAGAAATGTCCCATTAAAAATAGATAGAGAGAGAGATAAATATCTGTTTACAATATTACGAATTTCTGCTTTAAAACAAATCACACACAAATGGCTGGACCTAAAGCCACCATCAAGTAATGACTGGAAAAAAACTGTTGAAGAGATTAAAGACATGGAAAGAATCACCTAAAAAATAAGGAACCGTGAAGATGAATTCACAGGAAACTGGAGTAAATGGGTCTCATAAATATATAACCTTATAAAAATTAAAAAAAAACAACAACAACAAAACAGACTCAGGAGCACAATAGGAAAGTTACCCCCCACCCCTTTCTCTTATTATTAATTTCTTTTTCGTATTTTTCTGTATTCATGAGTGTTTAAAAAAGAGAAAAAAAATGCAGGATGAATTAAACAAGTTGAGAACTTGTAACATGATGAAATGGAAAACATATACAGTATGTAAATAATGAGAATGAACCTGCAATAAAGTATTAAAAAAACGGTTTTGCTGGCTATATGGATCATCCCCAAAAATATTTTGCACTGCTGTTGTCTGTTCTTCCATATTATCCAACATCCCTTCCATCCACATTTGTGTTGGTGTGTGATTGTTAGCTGATCTAATTTGGTGGTTATTCCAAGCAATTTTAAATAGGTCAAGTCTTTTTTAAATTGTTTTCCTTATAAACAATTTTCAAAGCCAATTTGTGTGTGTCATTGTCAGGGTTGAGTATGTTTTCATCTTCAAATGAATAGAACAGTGGGTAGAAAAAATGCACCACCTGTTGACAGCCCTCCAAAGCCATTCTATACTTTGATTGTGGATAGAACGACCTGCAATGTGCCTTGCCTGCCAATCTCCCCGCAAAAGATTCCACCTCTGTGCTGCAGCCACTGGGTCAATCCTGTTTAGGGTCTCTCCCACCCTTCTTCTTTGAACACCTACTCCTTCAGCCAGCAGGTATGCCCTCATCATCTGAATGTGTTGGATAATTAATGAAATAATGTTAACTTGCATACTATGTTGATGCTGTATACATCTGTCACAACGGTGTCCTTAGGTCTACTTACACTACAGGCCAAAAGTTTGGAAGCAAGGCCATTACAGGCCGAACAGTTGGGAGTAACTTCACATTTTTGTTCACAATGCTTTTTTTAAAATCCAGCATGAGTTTTATGTATTTTGGGATGTATTTCCTCCATGATCAGATGTTGCTTTCATGGAAATGCACCATCTTGCTTACCTTTAGATATACATTGATGTTAACAGACCATTGCTAAAATTATGTCAGCAAAAGATAATAAGGGCTTAGTTTTAAGGTTGAAAACATTTGCAAGAGTCACAACTTCAGTTCTCAACTGCATTCAAACTACCGCAAAAATGGCTAGAAAGAAGCAACCGAGTAAAGTAACAAAAGTACAGATTTGTACATTGAGGAGAAAGGATACACAGAAAGAGAAATTGCAAAACGCCTAAAGGTGTTGAGCAAAGGAGTCCACTACACTCTGAAAAGACTAGAGGAACCTGGAAGTTATGATGATAAAAAGACCTGGACGAAAGAGAGTTACTACAAAAGCAGAGGATAAACATAGCATTGTCACCAGTAAGAGAGATCGGTGACAGACAGCACCAAAAGTAAGGGAGGAAATCAACATGACAAGGTCGAAACCCATATCTCTGACATCTGTGAAAAGACGTTTGAGAAAGGCTGGTCTGAAGGGTTGTGTATCTGCAAAAAAACACTACTTTGTCCACAGAACAAAAAAAAAAGAGATATGAGTGGGCAAAAGCTCACAAAAATTGGACTTATGATGACTAGAAACAAGTTTGCACTGTTTCAAAACGCAGAGTCTATGTCCGCAGACAGATTGGTGAACGTCTGAAAGCACCATGTGTTACACCCACAATTCAGCATGGAGGTGGTAGTTTGTTTTGCAGCGAGACAATGACCCTAAGCACTCTGCCAAGCTCTGTCAGGGTAACTTAGACAAAAAAGGTGTTTTTCAAAAGATGGTTTGGCCCCCTCAGTCTTCACACCTTTCTCCAATTGAGCTTGTGCGGGATGAATTGGATCGATCGGTCAGAAAAACGCGTCCCATGAATCAGCAGTCTCTTTTTAATGAACTTAAGAAAGCTTAGAATGCAATCCCTGGAACTACTACTTTAAAGGAAGCAAAGTCTAAGCAACAATAACTCAAATACCTAATAATTATAGTCAAAATGTCTTCTGATAAGTTACTCTTTACACAATAGTCATGTTTATTGTGTTGCAAATTATATATATGAAACTATGATCTTTTTTTGTACGAATCTGATCTTGCTTCCAAACTTTTGGCCTGTAGTGTACATTTGAGCCTTCTCTTGGAAACTGGAACTGTAAAGTCTTCGAATGTGCTCTTCCAGGTCAGCATCACTAATTGAGGATCTCATCCGAGGCACTATCTGAAAAGCCCTAATTTTTTTTTATTGAGGTATGAAAAGGAACAGCCCAGCAATCTGGCCATGGCCCTCTCTGTGAAGCCCTGAGCAATAAGCAGTTTAATTTGCTCCTTTGTAACATCAAGTGCAGGTCTCCCTGGTCTTCCTGGAATATGGAAATTTAAAAAAATGTATGTAGTGTTATGAATTAGGAAGTGGATAGATGATCACTGAAATAGATTTTTCTTTAAACATGTAGTACTGTATATTAAGTGCACTACAGTAGAAATCAAATGTTCTTTTCGAGTTTGGATGTGACAGTGTTAGGTAGTTTTTGTCATGTAACAATATTGGATATTAGCTCTAGAGAATAGGTATTTCCAAGCTTTTACAAATGGGGATGTTTTCAAAATAAGTCTCACAAAATTAAATTGCCATAGATTAATCTTCTATCATGTACACTACTTACCTGAATGCAAACGATGTGCTGCATAAAGACCAGTGTGTGATGACTGACAATCAATAATGACTGATCTCAGATCACTGAGACTGTCAATGATGCCACGTATCGCTTCGGGGCTAACTGCACCCTCCATTCTCATTGCATTTGCTATTGAGACATCGATGGCGTGCACCTCTCTGTTACTTACAGACCCTTGAAAATATGCTTGTTCAATAAGAGTACATTGTCTTTGAATTCGTCTCAGGACAGCGTCTGCCATGTCTGCTAGTGATTAGAAATCACACCAAGCAAAGAAAAAGACCGGGAACGGCGATTCCTTGCACATGCCCACAATTTGAAAATTGGCCAATCGCAATAAGTACAACATAGTTCACATGTCAGCTAGTTTACTAGTGAGAGAAGACAGGGTGGCCGACTGAGTACATATTGTTTTTGCAAATATATACCCACTTTTAAGCATCAGGAGGGCTTACTAGATGACATGTTCACTAGTAGACATGTCAGCTAGTTTACTAGTGTGGCAGTATGGGCCGACAGCCCAGCCGCACCTTAATTAGGTTGCTGTCTCTGCCTTTGCCTTTGGAGGGCGTAGTTTTTAAATGTGGGTGCTTGCTCCCTGAGAGCCCTCTCCCTCTGCTCAGAGCTCTAGTCAGCCCTGCTCTCTCCTTTAATCACAACACCTGGTCACCTCACCTGATCGCCTCGCTGCCAGATTGCGCTGTGTGCTCAGCTCGCTGCTCTTGGTAGGTTAATCACATACTTTATTGTATTTTTTTTTGAGTTTTGCGGTTGCCGTCAGGGTTGGCTTTTATCTCCAACAGTTCCTCACTGGGTCTTCTCTCTCCTGCATTGAACCGATTGCGGGACCAAGAGTGTGTGTTCCCGCATCCCCACACAGCTGGGGGTGATCAGCGGAGTGGTCGATTGATTGATGCGCTGCGGCGTTGTGGGTGCCTCGTTCCCTCACCCTCGTGAGGTTCATTCAACCTTCTGACGGTATGTGTTTAAATGACTGCAACTCGTGCTATTATTATTAAGTCTTAGTGCTAAATTATATTTTTTCTCACAATAGGTTTTGTGTGTGAGCCATGTCGGGCTGCCCTAAACTCTCCTCTCGGGCCTCTATCAGCTGTGCTGCTGTTTTGTTTCTGTGCTGCTGTTTTGCTCCTGTGCTGCTGCGCTGTGGTTGTTTCTGCTACCACTGTTGCCTGCTCCGCTGTACTCCTGTCTCATCACCGTTGGTAAGGCTGTCACTGTCGCCATCCAACTTTGAATGGGTGGCGTCCTGCTTAGAGTGAGGTGACGTCATCACCCTGTGGACTAAATTTTAGGTAACCTGTTGCCTCAGCTTCCTCATTTTGTTGGCATTTAGCCTATTATGGTTTAAATCATTTGTTATTATTTTGTGATTTGAGTGTTTGTATGTTTTGTTTCTTCGGTTTGATATTTTTTTTATTAGTTATTAGTATTTGGTTTATTTACATGTTTGTTTGGTTTGGTGATTTCTAAATATGGTTGAGTTACTTTCTTTTCTTTGCTTGCTAGTTTTTCTTTCTTTTGTATTTGTGCTTTTTTTCTGATTTAACCAAAATTTGCTAATTGCAAATCAATTTTATTGGCAATATTGTTGCTATGGTTTAGAGAAGTGTGTGTGTTTGTGTGTGAATGAATGTGGATGAATAAGTGAAAAATATTTTATTGACCGTTTATTGGAGAAATTGTTAAATAAAAATCAAAGGTATTCATATACTGGACCACGGCCTCCCGTCTTCACTGGCAGACGAACCTGTGTGCGCCCTAACACTACATTAAAAGGTAATTCCCGATCAGAAAATAACCGGGCCAATCAGAGACCGTGTTTCCACTGTTACCCGGACAACAGCCCCTGATTGGTCCATGTGTAGTGGTGATGTCTAACACAAGCAGCGGGACTTTTCAAAGCGCCGTTCATTCAGAACTTCGTTAATTCTGCAGTTGACTCTGCAAAGTCCGCAGAAATCGTTTATATCCGACGTCTTCTGCGGATATAAACGATTTCTTTTGAACATATATCCATTTTTAAGCATCAGAACATGCCTATTAGTAGACATGTCAGCTAGTTTACCAGAGAAGTGAAGACAGGATGGCCGAGTGAGTATTTATTGATTTTGACATACAGTAGGCATATAGACCATAGACTATTTATTTTTCAAAATAAAACTGTAAAGTTGAGCTCTTAACCAATCAGTGATGTCAGCTCAATACAAGTTGCCAAGGAATAGCCTATTGGCCAAAGGAAAACACAAACGGTGGACAACGAATTTGGTCAAATGTTTTTCTTCAAATTGTCATTCATTTCTTTGAATGTGTCGCCCTCAGCGTGGTCACTAATGCAGCATATTTCTGTTGGGCTCTCCAGGATCTCTGCCGTGATGATGGTCGGTCTCGATCCAGCATGGAGAGCGGATGGCACACGCTCACCCTTGGTGGTATTTCTCAGTACCTGGCTCGGTGGGACCATAGCCGCTCTGAAGAGGAGACGCTGGTGCCGCTCAGACATCAAAACAAACCAAGCAATAAAATGTGCACCTGTGCAACATGTGTAGGCTACGCCTCACTATTTAATAGGCAAAACCATCAGACAGTCAGATTTCACAATGTCATCTAAATAATACCATGACATTCAAAGCTTCCCGGTGTCCGCTCGTCCATGGCGATGCTGTCTGCTGCCACTGTGATCTTTTTCAGACAGTGTTTTTTTGGGCTCCTGTTTCCAGCTTTGATGCTTCCTCAGAGCGCGTCCTCGTTTACCTCCAGCTCAGACCTGAAGAGATCATTTTCCAGCTTGGAAAAGGTGCGCAGCTTTGTTCTTTAGGGTCCTCATTTCTGCGTTTGACCTCAGTGGGCATGGCCACAGAATCAGAAATATTTAAGGAAAAGGAGACATTAACCATCGTTTAGACGGAAAACTCTGTCTGCACGTTTGCATGTAAACAGGGAAAAACATAGATTTGGGTAGCCCACGACAGATTGTGTATTGGAAACTGGGATAAATGCAATGTTGGTTACAATCTATGGTCTATGTTTACAATCTATGGTGATCGTGGATGCATGCAGAATAGCAGTCACATTTATGTGGTTGCAATCCCTTTGTATTTGCTTGCATTTGCAATTGTGTGTACTAGTGCTGTACTATGTGGAGGAGCAGCGAGGAATGAGTGCTCTAAGATCAGCAATGTTGCAGCAACTTCTCCCTCCGACACGAAGAGTGTGTCCGTGTTGCCGCCAGCCTTGCCGGTTTTGGGTTCGACCTGGGTGCACTGCTGTCTGGTGGGAGAACTTAGACAATGAAGTGGTTCTGCTGGAAGAGTGGCGTAAAAATCTCTGGATGTCATGGGCATTGCTGCTGTCACTCTCCATGGGTTGCATATACATAGGTTAGTGTCTAGATCATAGTTCGTCTCCCAGCCACATCCTCTGCCATGTCCTGGGCCACCACGACCTCTTCCATGGCCTCTGCCACGCCCTCAATTTTGATAAAAGGAACCGCCATGGGCTGCAATGGTGAGGTGGGCATTCACGGCAGCGGTCTTCAACTTATCTGCTTTTCTTTTGTGTTTCTCTGATTCTTTATTGTCATGGTGCTTGGTGTGACTGAGAATTTCCTTAATCCGGTCATCTCTCCATCCCCCCACCAGGGTTGACTTCATGGTGGAGGTGATTGATGGTCTCAGTCCTTCTCCAAAAGCTGTACTAAAGACATTTTCGAACGGTGTTTTGGCTACACCACACTCATCAGGTTTTCCATGACCTGAGTGTGAGGCACAGACCTTGAGGAGCCAGTAGTAATTATCAGCAATGGTCTCACCCGGTTTTTATTTGCAGTCCCTGATCTCCAGGAGGTCGACTTTGACTGGAATTTTGTCTCTGATTTCCTGGACAATGGACATCACCCAGTTTTCCCAGTCCCCATCGTTGTTCCACTCAGCAGTTCTCGCCTTCAGGAGTTGGTAATTGGGCACTGTCACTTTGGCTTGTATTTTCTGAAATCCCTCACTTTTCATGTGGAGGGCCAGGAACTTGTGCAGCTCGAGTCATGTGGGTCTCCAAATTTCTCAGAAAGACCTCACACATTCACTCAAGATGATCCCCCTTTTGCTGACAGGAAGCCAGTCTTTTATGGCTTCTTTCATTTCCTGATCCATGTTGCAGTGGACCAGAACTGATTTACCGTCTGGGCCAGGATATTCCATCATTGGGAACCGCTGTGCTTGTCAGGTGTGCCTAGGGCTGGTCAAATATTCTTTTGAGTCAAAAATGTCCTCCTTGTCTTTATCGGTGTCTGCAGACGTATTAGCTGACTGCTGACAATGCCATTGTCTGGACCCAGATGTGGTTTTGGTCTCTTTGGGCACCACAGATGGGCCTGTCAAAGAATCAGCTTATTGTGGTGGGGGATGGGCTGCAGGTGCTGAGGGTGATGTTGGTGGTGGCTTTTGAAGTTGTTGTCCTCCAGGTCCGCCTGGTGGTATGTATGCAGATGCCTGTCCTCGCAGGGCATAAGATGGGTCTCAGTTGTCCTGTTTGCCTCAACCACCAGTTAGGTGCAGGTTTGGATATAGGGAAGAAGTCAGAGACACAGTTATGTCAGTTGCATGTCCCTCATTCATTTTTTTCCTTCACTCCCTCAGACTTATTCTTTTGCTTTCTTTCCTGACTTTCTGCCTCATTCATCCACATTCTAAGACACTTGTTTTTCTCCATCTCTCGCAAATCTTCTCTGTCAGTCTTTTCTTTGCCTTTATTTTCTCCTCTTTCTTTCCCAGGCACACTTTCCCACACTCAAACTTCCACGCTTAGGAAAACCACATTCTTTAACCCAAAATTCAATGCAAGAAAAACATTTACCCCCTTATTTATCTCTTATGAGATTGAAAATTGGAAAGTCATGGTTTTCCAGACCCGTCTTGCTCCCACTTGACCCAATTTTGTCTTTGCGCCTGGGTCCTTTTTTTTCTCCTCTCCAGACGTCTCCAGCAGAGGTCTGTAATTTCGACCTTACACTGGTTATATTGAACGTCTCAGTCAGGGCCTGTAACCCTTTTGGACACTCGTCAGGACTTGAACCCTCTTGACGGGACTGTAACTCCTTTGACGATTTGACCGTAACCCTTTTCCCATCTGTGGACCACAAGAATTACCTGGAAATTACAGTTTGACTCTTACTTCCTCTTGTGGCGCTGGTCATGGCGACAACTCCTTTTACTAACTCCTTTTACTAACCTTTTTAACCACTTGTGGTGGACAATGGCAACAGGATGTCACCCTGGTCTGGGGGGCTTTCTCTTAATTTTTTTGCCACCTTCTACTCGGAGTATGTGAGAGTGGAAAACCTCACCAGTACAGCCGCGACTTTCTACTCTTCTCCTTAATTCCGGGACAGGCATCGTGTATCCCTTGTCAGCTGTTCCTCCAGAGATTGCTTGGCTGAACCCCTCCACGAAGAACCGGGGCTGGTAGTCTGGGCCAGGACGCACAAGGAAAAGGGGGAGACACAGCAGACTACGGCAGAGGGTCGTAGGTGATTGTCAGAGAGGCACTGTGCACCAAGGACATCAAACTTCTGTCCGTATCCCTGCGACCCTTCTATCTCCCCAGAGAATTCCCACAGTTGTTTTTCACTGTGGTTTATGTTCACCCAAAAGCTAATGCTGAAGTAGCCGCTCAGGTTATGCTAAAAACAGTGCAGCGGCTACAGGGGCTAGTGCCGGATGCTCCACACTTCATTCTGGGTGATTTCAACCATTGCAAACCTTCAAAGTCATTGGGTGGTTTTTACCAATTCGTGACGGATCACACTTGTCATGCCAAGTGCTTGGACCTTTGCTTTGGATCCATAAAAGGTGCATATAAATCCTTCATCAGAGCTCCGCTTGGTATGTCCGACCACAACACGGTCTACCTTGTTCCGTCCTATAACTCTGTCCTTAAGAGACACAAGCCGGAGAGAACATTGGTTCCAGTTTGGTCTGAGGAATCAACCTGTTGCATTCAGGACTACTTCCACAGCACGGATTGGGATTTGTTCACAAGTGTCTGTGTAGTCCTTGAGCCGGACCAGATGTCGGTACCACTTGGGTGGGCAAAACCTTACATATACTAAATTGTTTTTAGGGTCAATTTAAGTAAATTGAAATATGATAGACTTTTCATAGGGGTAGCTTTTTATATTTTTTCTCATTTTGTTATTTTCCTCAATAGGCGAATTTTTGTTAACTCCAAAAGCAACACAAAGTCAAAAGCACATTAAAAGTCATACTCTATTTGGGTCACACTGCTCGTTTCTATAAATGAATCAAACCTGTGTCTAATTAAATGAGTTGATGAGGTGGGAGTGGCCCAATTTGATGGTGGAGCAGTTCTTTCAGGTATCATAGCACTTGAGCCAAGAACCAAAATTTCACATATCAGTACCACTTGGGTGGGCAAATTCTAGTTGTGATTTTTTTATTGCTATACATCCCTACAATAAGTTTTTATATGATAGACCTTGGTAACTGGTAGCTTTATTGTAGTTATCACTCGTTGAAGTAATACAGTGCAGCTGTTCAAAAATGAAAAATCGCCTTCCTTCAAAATGAGCTTTCTTTCATTTTAACCTCTCATTTAGGTGTCTTTGAACTATTGGCTGGCCATAGAGACTTGTAATAACCCCCTAAGTAGTATTTCAAGTAATTTATCTAATACAGGTGTGTATATATAAGCTTCAATTAGCCAATTGTCAGGTCTAAATCAAGGTCTAAATTAAGGATATTTTTTTACTTAGAAGTAGAAGTAAAGTAAATGCTGACTAATAGCATTATAATAACACAACTTTAATATGACACCGACATATTTTAAATGCAGGCACTCATACAGTCATCCTGGCTGGTGCAGGGCAAGATTACATTAGCAACAAAATAAGATATACTGATGTATACACTCTATACAATCATCTGAGAAAAACTCCATTCCTCCACCAAGAACTTGATGAGACTGGCTTTGTTGGCAGGGCTGCAGAGAAGTTTCCTCCACTGCTGAATATTGTGGCCAGAAACAATGTTTCTGAACTGGATCCCCATGTCTGCACCTCTGTTAAGTCTTTCTGAATTTTTGATTGACATTTCCTTGTAAACGTCAAAGACAACATCAATCTTTTCACTTTCACCACTTTCATGCAGGACCTTGGCTAAAGTTGAGTCCAGCCAGCTTACACCATGTCAGGATTGCGTATTAATGCAACCGATTCGTGCCAACTACCAGGCTGCTATCTGGAGACGGTCTCTTCATACCAAGCCATCTGTACCAAGCCCCAAGGACCATGGGTGGACCATAAATGACGAAGGGCAGCTGGAAATACAGTGGATGCGTGGTTCCCCAGCACCAGATGCGGTCTTGCAGTTGTTATCCTTCAAGAGTGTGAGGACATGCAAACCACCAGACTGCACCTGTCTCAGCAATGGGCTGAAGTGCACAAACCTGTGCAAATTACAAACTTGTGCCAACCAATACAGTGAGGAAGAGCCCCTTGCACACCCGGCAGACTCAGATGTATAAGAAGATACAGATACTGATACTGTCGATTTCTGATGTTGATTAATAAGTGATGACCAAAAGGAGCTATGTTAACAGACCCACTGTGACTCAGTGACAGTATTATGTTCTAAGCTGAAACTTGACAGTCATATTTGCTGTCACTGTTCCTTATGGAAAGAATAGGACTTTGAATTGGAATTTGAGTTTTTCTCAGATGATTGTATAGAGTGTATACATCAGTAGACCTTATTTTGTTGCTAATGTCTTCTTGCCCTGCACCAGCCAGGATGATTGTATATTGAGTTCCTGCATTGAAAATATGTCAGTGTCATATTAAAGTTGTGTTATTATAATGCTATTAGTCTGCATTTACTTTACTTCTACTTCTAAGTAAAAAAATATCCTTAATTTAGACCTTGATTTAGACCTGACAATTGGCTAATTGAAGCTTATATATACACACCTGTATTAGATAAATTACTTGAAATACTACTTAGGGGGTTATTACAAGTCTCCTTGGCTAGCCAATAGTTCAAACACACCTAAATGAGAGGTTAAAATGAAAGAAAGCTAATTTTGAAGGAGGGCGATTTTTCATTTTTGAACAGCTGCACTCTATTACTTCAATGAGTGATAACTACAATAAAGCTACCAGTTACCAAGGTCTATCATATAAAAACTTATTGTAGGGATGTATAGCAACAAAAAAAACACAACTAGAATTTGCCCACCCAGGTGGTACCGATATGTGAAATTTTGGTTCTTGGCTCAAGGACTAGTGAGGATATTGATGACTTAACTGATGTTGTGTCTTCATATATTTCTTTTTGCGAGGCCTCCATTATCCCAAGGAAAGAATTTTTCCTTTACCCAAATAATAAGCCCTGGGTGTCAAAAAGTGTAAAAACTGTCATTAACCAGAGGAACACTTCGTTCTTCCAAGGTGATCTAACCAGATGCAGGCAGCTTCAAAAACTGCTCAAAAAATAGCTCAATTTGCCAAGTGCAGGTATAAGGACAAGGTTGAGAGCATGCTTAGGGCAGGTAGCTCACGTTCTGCATGGGAGGGGGTCAAATCTATCATTGGGATGCAACCCAAGAAGACCCATGTCGCTTTGAATGGAATGCCTGATCTGGTGCTCTTAAATGAATTAAACAACTTTCATAATCATTTTAACAACCGTAATTTTAGTGAGGAACTGTCAGTTTTTAAAAATGCTGTCTCTTCACTGAACAGTGTTGTTGACGGGAACAATGTATGCAAGCTTTTCCATTGAGTTAGGGAATGGAAAAGCCCTGGCCCGGATGGCATTGGTGGGCATGTTCTTAAGAACTGCGCTGACCAGCTGGCTGACATATTTGCTTTTATCTTTTCAATGTCCCTCCAGCTTCACAAAGTCCCTCACTTTGAAAAGTCTCCATTTTTGTTCCAGTTCCCAAATCTGCATCCCCTAGATCACTAAATGACTTTAGACCTGTGGCCTTAACTTCTCTTGTTATGAAGTCTTTTGAGAGAATTGTTAAAGAGTCACTGCTGGCCTGCGTTCAGGATAACCTGGACCCACTGCAGTTTGCCTACAGGTCAGGCAGAGGTACCGAGGATGCATTAGCCATGCTGCTTAATCTCGTCCTGACTCACCTTGAGGGAGCCAAGACCTTTGCTCGTCTTTTATTTGTTGATTTCTTCTTTGCTTTTAACTGCATACAGCCAAACATTTTAGCAGGAAGATTAAGGGACTTCCACAGCGTTGATCCTGGTCTAATAGCCTGGTTGATGGACTTTTTAACTGAAAGACCACAACGTGTGAGGGTCAATGGTGTTTTGTCAGACACTCTTGTCTCCTCTACTGGATCACCACAGGGCTGTGTCCTTTCACCCCTACTATTTGTTTTATATACAAATGAGTGCCGTAGTCAACATGTGGGGCATCACATCCTGAAATTTGCAGACGACTCAGTAATCGTGTCTTTGCTAAGTGGTTACGACCCTGCCCATGGTCCTGTTGTTAAGGAATTCACAGACTGGTGCTCCGCATCCTTCATGCCCATTAATGTGACTAAAATCAAAGAAATGCTGATTGATTTCCATAAACATTCATCAGCTATCCCTCCGCTTGCCATTGAGGACCAAGTAATCGATTAGTCCACAATTACAAATACCTTGGCACAAACACTGATGATAAGCTGTCCTTTGACTTCCATGTGGATGCTGTCTGCAAGAAGGCACATTTTTTGTACTTTTTCAGGAAACTGCTGACAGCACTTTTATGAAAATGTTTTATTCCTGTTTTAGTGAGTCTGTTTTAACTTTCTCTTTATTTGCTGGTAAGGCCTACTCTCCTTAAAAAACAAGAAAAGACTGCCTGGTATAGTGACACTTTTAAGCTTAGAACACTAAGCAAGGCCCACTCACTCCTCACTGATCAGAGCAGTGGCGGTTCTAGACTAAATTACTCTCCGGGCGAGACCCCCTCCATACCCCTTCCTCGCCCGTGCCTAGAACCGCTACTGGATCAGAGCCATCCCTTGGCTGGTGAGTTTGTGCTGCTCCCGTCAGGCAGCAGGTATGTCCTGCCTAGATGTAGGACAAACAGACTGAAGAACTCTATTATCCCTGCCGCCATAGGTCTTTTAAACAAGTGATTGTTTTTTGTCTCTCTGTTTTATCGTTCTTTTATTTATCTATTGTTGTGCTAGTTGTCCTATGTTTTTGGCACTGCTGGCTGAAAAGCGATTTGCCCCACGGGGACAAGATTCCTTGAATCCTTAAATACTTATCGACTTGTCAAATCTTCAGATCCAAAATCTTAACAAAAGTAGTGACAATTTACCGTCAATTTGGAGGATTTTAGAACTTTGGATTCCAAGGTGAGGGCCCCCGTCCACCTGCAGACGGTTCTCCCACCCTTCAGCTGTAGGGGATGAGACAGGACCTATGTCCTGGATGATCAGTCACCATCTGCTGCGGAGAGGTTACAGCCTGGAATCCCACTTCTGACACAAAGTATGTTCTGGAAATAAACTTGCCTCCCAGTTGTAATCCTTCTGTCCTGCAGTGAAGAGAGAAGAGCCACCCACCACCATTGGTCCTTTGGTCCATTAAGGTGTTATGAAGTGGATGATCCATGTTGTTTAGAATAGTCTCCACCTTCCTCAGTGTACATCTCTCCACCACATCCTCCAGTGAGTCCAGCTTGAATCTAACCACAGAGCCAGCTTTTTTCAGCAGTTTGTTTAGACGTCTTGCATCTTTGTGTTTGATACTTCCTGCCCAGCAGACTGCAGCACAGAATAGAACACTGTAGACACCACAGACTGCAACATTGTACTACGGATGTCTATTGATCGGAGTCTTCTAACTTCACCCCATTGTATACAAATTTTTCTCAACATAAATTGCAAAAAACTGCAGAAATATTTTGCACTGAGTGAAGCCAATAGGAGTTTTTTAGATGTCTCCTGTCCCGGCTTCATTTTTTTTTTGTGTGTATATAAATACTTGAAAAAGGAATGTTTGTTTTAGGTGTGCTCCTTACACACTCTAGCAGTAGCCCCTGTGGCCCTTTCAAAATCTCCCAGAGGGAATTTTCTAGTCGGTAACTGTTTGTTAGTGTTATTGAAAAATGGGTTGGTGACTCTATGGTAGTAAAATTCAAGCCAAAGCGTGTTTATGTATATCATATTCAGCTCAGCATAACATCTACAGAGAAACTGGGTTTTTGTGTCAAAAACATGATGTGACAGGAGAAAAGGTAAAGTGCCCATGAGGAAAGTTACATATTAAAATTAAATAGTGTTATAGTTATCTTAGTTTACCACATGCTGTGATGGTCAAATACTTCACTATGTTAATGTTAATAAAACCAAATACATTATATTTGGAAATCGCATAATCAGTAAGAAGATTCAGATCATGATAGATAAAACTGAAATAGAAAGAGTATGATAAAAAAAAATTGGGAGTTGTTCTAGATCACAAACTTTGTTGGAAACCTCATATTGATTATATTAGAAAGAAAATATCTAAGTCCATTGCTATTATGTATAAAGCAAGAGATACTCTAAATTCAAATTCTTTACTGACATTGTATAACTCCTTCATCCTTCCATACATTGTTTAGTGTGTGGAGGCCTGGGGAAAAGCATACAAAACAATCACGAATCCCATTCTTTTATTACTATCAGGAACCAACAAACAATTTTTTATACATTGTCACCTGCTTAAATTTAGTGAACTTGTTGATTTTAAAATATCACTGTTGATGTTCAAGGCACATAATAATCTGTTGCCACACTGTATCCAGAGGTTGTTCCTGAATAGGCAAAGTGATTATGCACTGAGAGGGAGCTGCATGTTCACAAAACCAAAGAGCAGAACAAATGTCAAACAAATATGTGTTTCAGTCTATGGGGTCACTCTGTGGAATGCTTTGGAAACGGAAATTAAGGAGTTCAGTACATATAAGTTATTTAGGAAAATATTGAAGAATAGGTTGCTCATTAAGTATAACTGTTGTTTTTCTTTTTCTTTTTCGGCTTATCTGTTTACTTTTTTGTTTTGTTTGGCTTTTTTTTGTTTTTTTTTTTTGTTCTTTTTTCTTTTTTTCTCTTTTGTCCTAATGTTTGTTGTCAGTAAGGAGCTGACTGAAACGAGTTGAAAAGGGTAGGCGTAATAAGCTATGCTTCAGCCTATACCTTTTCGTTCTGGTTTCATTTAGTGTTTTTGATTGTATTCATATTTTGAAATAAGTGACCGAAATAAATAAACAAACAAACAAACAAAACAAACACTACTATACTGCACTACTAATACAGTCTCTGCGTCTTTTATAAAAGGTGCTGACCATCCAATGCCTTTATTATCTCAATTTTTCAGCCAGCATGCTGCCAGCTCATGAACTATGTCATAAGTTTCATGAATAACTCCACTTCAATAAGCTTTGGGGGCAACAACTTCATAAAAATGTGTGCTTTGTTTATTTGTCTCTTCAATTTGCTGAATTTGTAATGTCTTTTTTTATTTGCTTGTACAATATGCCCAAATGCAGTTTCTATTCACAATGAACAAAGTACATTGTAGGGGAGAGTGGGGTAAGTTGAGCCAAAGGGTAAGATGGGCAACCCCTGTAGATAGATAGATAGAT